CACTGGAAATACTCAGAAGGTCTGGCAGCATCCATGGAGAGATAAATGCCTGTCTTTATTTCATACCCAGACTGATCAATGTCAATGGATTTTCTCTTAACTGCCTCCAGCAATTGCATGCCTCTCTTGTTTCATTCCACCACAATGGAAGATGTGATCTGATCACAGGGCTGCAAATCTTCAATCAATATCTCTCACTGACTTAAAACCTATTGCTTTGGGTGTGTCAGTCAACACCTTTGTTTGCCAACTTCTATTCTGGATTTGGATATGTTTGGCTGACACAAGCTTCTCACAATCTTTCATTTACACATTGTGTGTGTGCGTGTGTGTTTTCCATTGCTTGTCCTTATGTAGTTGGAGCTAAGTTATATTTATCTACATCTGCTTCATCTACATCACTAACTGATCCATTGTGGATCCTCCAAATAAGATTGCCAGTTTAGGCGTGGGTTATGCCTTTGATCTATTTCCAATCACAGCTTTGAACTCTCTAAGCAAATTCAAATTAAGATTCTCAAACCCATCAGTAGAAATCACTTTCACATCACAAAAGTCTGAGCTGAATTTGACCACAATCCCTAATCTAACCCACTGATACCAATGATAAAAGGAGTTGTCCTGCTGTATTGGAGATGAATGCCCTTTAAGTGACTGGAACGTTTGTCCAAGCATAATGTACTCCCAAGTCTGGGGAGATCACTTCTAATAGAATGAGGTTCCCACTTCATTTTGGTCTCCTCCCATTGAGAGGTTTATGAATTGGCACAGTTGACTGGTTTATTTGTAATGCACGCAGTATCTTTGCAGATTGTTCAGTGTAGCTCACTCTCACATTCATACTCCCTCTCCGTCTCACATAACCAAGCTGGGTTTTAGTTCCAGGGTTCTGGTCTGGCCTCAGGCAGAATTCTGGTTGGGAAACCCATAGGAGGCAGTAATGGGAACCAGGAGGGAATTTTGGAAGAGACAGCCAATTAAGAGGCCACTTCCTGGTATTGCACTGCTGTGCAGGAAGCTGTGGATGGTGGGCAGCTTCACCGGAAAAGGTAGGCACTGCTGACGTAGATGGCAGAACAAGAGGGTGCCTCGAAATGGAAGCACCATATGACGACTTTAGAAGGTTTGTTTTTTAAAAATTCAGCCACTGTTACCAGGCAAACATTAGGGACAACTGTATGGCTGAGGGTCCCTGCTATCTGTGGTGCCAGTTGGTTGGGTGGCTGAGCAACTAGAGGAGGCCTCACTTAACCCTTTCACTGAGAGGCAGCCTCTATCTATATGACAGGCTTCTACCTCAGCCGAGTTGCAGTGTGCTGCTTAGAAAGTTCAAATCAGTGTGTGATGAGTGCCCTTCATTTGTACTTTAATTGGTTATAATGCCTGCCTCCTGTTGAATGGGACTCCAAGAAGTGGTCTTACTGAAATTTGGCTTGAGGCAGGAACATACCAGGGGTAAAAGCCTACCCTCAAATTTGAGAAAGACCATTCAGCCCATTACCTCCACATCATTCATGACACCCACCCTCACAGGACAACTGGAAATTAGATGACACTTGACTGCTAGCTAAAGAGCTTTCTTCTGATCCCCTCCTCCCCGAAATACTTTTATGAAACTGCTAAACAGAAAATGTTCAATAAAAAAAACAAAAAGCACACTCTCCAGGCAAAATAATTGGACGGTAAGAATTCATACTGGCCACATTCCAATCTGCAAACAACCTTCCTTTTTAAGGATTTTAACAGTAATGTCAAAATTAAAGAACTCCCTAACAAGATTGCAAGAAAAGCTTTTCGGTTTAAGGAGATGGTACACCACGAAGGCAAGTAGGGACAGGTAATAAATGCCAACTTTGATACAGATGTCCATAATTGCTGGAATGAAGTAAGTTCTGTTGACAGTATTAAATTGTTTTTAAATCATCATTAAATCTGAAATTAGGTATCAGTCACTTACACACAAATGTGAGGTAGTATTGCGTTAGAATAGGTCAGTGATGGTGTATGAAAAGATGTTATCATAATGGATGGAAATTGAGATGGAAAATGCCTTAAAAAGGCAGGACTATAAGATCAAAATGCAGAACGTTAGGTTCTTATTCACCAAGGAGCTGGGCAAAAAGTTGGAGTAAAACCAGATGCCTGACTGAGCTTCAGTCTAGTCACCACCACTTATAAGGCACAGGTTAAAACTGTGATGGAATATTCCCCACTTGTCTCGTTGGATGCAGTACCAACAGTATTCAAGCATCTCACATCAATCCAGGACAAAGCAATTCATTTGATTGGCATCCCAACCACCGCCTTCAACATTCACTCCCTTCACCAGGATTTGCAGAGTTATGTGTGCTATCTACAAGATGCACAACTCACTACTGCTTCTTCGACAGCACCTATCAAACCTGCAACCTCTAATATCTAGAAGTGCAATGGGAAAACCACCATCTGTAAGTTCTCCTTAAAATCACACATCATCTTGACTTTATTGCTGCTCCTTCACTATCATTGGGTCAAAATTCTGGAACACCTTTCCTAACAGCACAGTGGAACTCCATATACCCAGGTACTTCAGCAATTCAAGAAGGCAGCCCATCACCACCTTCTCTAGGGCAAGTAGACGTGAACAATATTAGTCATCTCCCCCATTTTATTCCATGAATGAATAAAATTGAAGTTCCTGAAAAGTAAAGTAGAGTGCACACCTCTGTTATACTGCTAAGTGCAACACAATTTACTATTTTAAAAATTATGTCTCCAGCTGATGGCAGTATCGGACAAGTTAGACTCCAGAGTTGATAGTCCATAGGTTTTATTCTTACTATTTGGTTGTTATGGTGATAAATAACTGACCACATTCACAAGAGACAGCTAATATACTTGTGACAAAAGGGAATAAGCTTATTACACAGAAGGAAAGAAATTAAACATAATGTATGACAATTTGGAAATATCTCATCATCAGCAACAGCAAAAAAAAACACAAACTCCTCTCTTTTCCTGAAATTTCCTTTACAGATATTTAACCACAGTGAAAAGTTATTCACATTGAGGATGTTGGCTTGCTTGCCGAGCTGGCTTGTTTTCGTTCAGACATTTCATCACCATGCTAGGTAACATCAGTGAGGCCTCCAATGAAGTTATTCATATCCTTAATTGTAAAAGTTTCTTACTCAACTGATGAGGTCACAAGTGCTGTCTTTTTGGTAAATTTCTGTTCATTCACTACTCTCTACTCCTGTCTCTCTCTGAGACACACAGACACAGGCTAACTCAATGACCTTTCTCATTGAGCTGTAATGGAAAATCTCTTTTTCCAGTCACTTTGATTACTTCAAAGCTGTTAAACAGCACATCTGCTGGTATGCATCTTTTCTCCTGAATTTGGCTTTGTTTTGGCTTCTGCCCACTCTTCCTTTAGGTTGTTAAAAGTTCATCTTAGGAAATGCATCAATAATGGTCTCATCAGGTTGCTTACCTAGTCATTTAGCTTAGGTCACGCAATTTAATAGAAATGCTTTCTTTAATTCTCTGCTGAAAAAAAAAACTCTGACTACTGGAAAGAGTCACCTTCACAGAACTATATAAACCCTAAATTACACCCAAAGCTTTGTACTGTCAACACCACCAGCTGCATAACTGTAGTATTCAAAATAAGCATGTGCATTTTTTGGGCTGCAAAACTCCAGGGTATGTTCATGGTTACAGTGGTGGCCCTGGGAATAATGTGAAGCATGAGTTTAGAAACATATTAGTGCAAGATTAAGAGTGCATCAGACTGCAGCAGTTTAAGAAGATGGCTCACCACCTTATTATGGACAGTTAGAGATACTCATTAAATGCCAACAACATTCATATCCCATGAATGAATAAAAGAAGTATAATTATTTCTGTAATTGTACTTGGTATATGCTAGAAGAGGTCTCCCAGGTTTCTGGCCAATATTTATCCTTCAAGAAACTCCTAAAGCAGATTCTTTGGTCATTATCTCATTGCCGATTGCTTGGGGCCTTCCAGTAGGCAAATTACCTGCTGCATTAATTCCATTATAACAGTGGCTATGCTTCAAGAGTACTTAATGAGGTGGAAAGTGCTCTTGGGCATGCTGAGAGTATGAAAAGCACTGTACTGTGTAACAACAAGTCCATTCTTTCTTTGAAAGAACTGGCACTGCTACGGAATTATTGGGTGGATGATGGTTAATGAGTGTTAGAAGGTTCTGTTAAAAGTGAGTTAACTTTTACACAAATCAATGAGCACTTAAACATTAATAAGGTGCTAAAGACCTGCCACTCAGCCATAACAGGTAGCACATCTAATATAAAGTAAGTTATTGATGTTTCTTCCGACAATGAATGCTGGGACTAGTTCGAACAACATTTTTAATTTGTAAATATGCTTTCTTTTCACAGTAGTCGTGTTAAAGCAATGGTAAATTTGTATTTTCAAAACCTTTGGGATACTGGATTTTAAAATTCTGGTAAAAACTCATCAAGGAGAAAAATATTCAATACATATTACATTATATTTGAGACAGACTACATTTACGGGAGTAAGCAGGATAAGCAGTACACCAAGGGGAAAAACACAGACCTAATAGACAATCAGAGCCAGAGAGTAGTAGACGGGCAGGCAAAGGAGGTTAGAGACAGAGACAGAAATGAGACACCGAGACTAAAACCGACAGCGAGAGCCAGGAGCGGAGGAACATTTCGGGAAGGGTTTGCGAGAGAGGCACAGAAAGGGACGGAAAAACAGACAAGACTGAAGCAAACAGAAAGACACGCGACAACAGAGAAGAATCTCTGACAGAAACAGAAAGAAAACAGAGAGAGAGACGGAATAAAGAGAGAGAGAGACGGAATAGCGAGAGGGAAGTTTATTTAATGAGTGATTTAGTAAGAGTCAGCTGACAGAAAGACGCAGAGGCACATGATGAGGAACAGAGTAGAGAGAGAAAGAGAGTACAATCAGAGAACGACATCAAGTAATTGGAGGTCTACCTGAGAAGGTGAGCCGGAGCCGGGCTTGGGAAGGTCTCCATGTACCGGTCAGTCTTTCCCCAAGGGCAGACAGGAGCAGGACTTGAAGGAGGAACGTACTGAGCCCCCAGTGGAGGCTGAAGGAGAATCCGTATCTCGAAGCTGAACGGCGAGCACTGTTCATCCCCAACATCGTGTGGCGCGTCAGTCCCACTGCTTCTTCTTTCCAAAGCCGATTCCAACAGCAGCAATCCCCGGAAAGCTTGAGACTATCCCAGTACAAATGTCAGAGTGAAGGGAGAGGAGGAAAGCAGCAAACAGCTGGTGGGGGGGGTGGAATTGGGCAAGGGGGTAAGGATTGAAACGGTTTCTTAAGTCAGCCTGAGTGACCTCTCAAGGCAAGTGGTCGAACACGGGGAGCTTGTATCTCTCAATTAACCCCTGGCGATAGCGGGGGTTGGTCACAGACGCACAGTTCGTGGCTACTCCCCAAGTTGGCAGCTTTTTTTTTCTGAAGCGCACACTGACAGTAAGATAGTCAATACCTGGTTCTTCAGGGTATTTGCTCTGGCTCCCTCTCCTTTGCCACAGGAGCTATCACCGTCCTTTCCCTGCTCTGTCAGGTGGTAGTCTGCACCCACCTCCTTCGAGTCTGTCTGTCCACTTTCACTTGGGCTAGGAGAGAGAGAGAGACAGCAACATGCCCCTCCTCTCTCTCAGCCTTCAAGGCTATGATATCCTGCCGAAAGTTAAATGCAAGTGACACATTGAGAGTACCGCCTTCAAAAGATGCACAGAACCAGATTAAACCACCCCCACCCCAACACACACACACTGCGATTCCCTCCTCCCTCTGTGCAAAAAATTCTCCAAAATAAACCAGTCAAATGCCGAATGAAAGAATGGGGTCTCCTTCCTGCCATTTTAATTTCCTTTTAAGTTCACAGTTGCATGATTCTGGACTGGGTTACATTGTAACTGTATGTGTGTTTGTGCAGGATGATTGCTTCTGTGGTTCCTCTCATTGACAGGTGCATTTACTCGCTCAGATCACTATTTAAACCGCCCAGGCTGGAAAGCAAGGAGGATCCGGGAGTTAATAACCTTCCGCAGACGGAAGCATTTGTCAGCGTTGCTGTTTTCGAAATTCCAGTGTCGGTGCTGATGTGGTCTTTGTCTCCGTTGGGGGGGAGGGCGTATTTGTTTATGTTAGCCCCATGTAAAAATCTGATGGTGGATATTGAAGAGCCCGACAACCATCGCAAATAGCTATAATATTCAAACATTACATTCCTCTGGCATATGGTGTGTGACTAGAATTAGCCAGTAGGTTACACGGAGCAACACACTTACAGTAGCCTGTCATACTTCCAAGTGATGCTGGGTAATACAGAATATGAGACCTTTATATCCTCATGCATTGATTCTTGTCATTTATTCATCGGATGCTACCATGGTCAACAGTTATTGCCCTCCCTCATTGCCCTTAAATTGCATGGTTTGCTAAACTATTTCAGAGGGGTAGTTAAGAGCCAGGGATTTTGCTATGCGTCTGAAGTCAAACATAATCAGATCTGGTAAGGACAGCAGACTTTGCTTCCCTAAAGAACATTAGTGAACCAGATAGTTTTTTTTAAAATGGCAATAATTAAATATTCTTACACATACACACACTAGATTTTGATATTGACTTCAAATTTCACTATCTGCTATGATGGGACTTGAACACATATTCCCAGAATTATTACCACTATGCCACCACCTCTCCTTGAGGCTATCACAAGTATTTCTCTTAAAGGCACACTGAAGGTGACATAAAACATAAGTGTCACCAATAGGGTGTGTGTGTTGGTCTTGGAAGGGATGTGGTGCAGATACAATAGAGTTAACTCAGAGGCTCAAAGGTTCAATTGTACAGTACATCAATTTGCCTGATAAGGTTTAGATATTGTGGGGTAACTTAATGGAGGTAAGTGAATGATAAAAGGATTCTGTGGTCAACAGAACCTCTGGTGAGGAACAAGGAGGTACAAACTTTTCACCTGTTTTCAAGAAAAATCCAGAAGTTTCATCCACAGTAGAAATTGGGAGGTCTTCCTGTTCCTCCATCCCTCAAAAGCTATGGATCTTGCATCATTTGAAGCTCTTAAGTTTGAGTTTGATAGATTTTATTTTATCGGGAAAGGGTTTCAAGAGATACAGATGAAAGGTGGGTGGATGGTAAATCAGACATGATCTAATTGACATACTCCATGGCTATGTTTTTCCCCCAAGTTCCTGAATTGTCCACCAGAAGGTAATATCATGAGGAGTCCCACTGCTGCAATGATGGAACTGGGAGAGTGATGGTGGATAACGGATTATTGAAAGTTAGGGTTCAGACGCACTGAGTTAGATTGTAGTCCATGTTACATTTTCCGACGAGAGATCTTGACTTTACTGGGTGGTAACAAGTGAGCAGCTGGTATTAAATCTCTCTCCAGTTTTATTTCAGCTGACTTCAATTGAAATAAAAGTGACAAGGGGACGAAGAAGGGGGATTGGCTATTCACTTATTGATGGTGGAAAGAGTGTCTCTATTGTCAGGGTTCAATGATTTAGTCTTTTCAGTTGTTAGAATTGCTGATGAGGTGTGGTGTGGGTGAGATTTGATTATTTAAAGAATGAATGCAAGTTTATTTTGTGCCCTCTTGTGAGGGTGTTACTTCCACTGCTGTCAAATCTGATAGGTGCCTGGACGTTACCATGAGTGTACACATCTGTTATAATTCAAAGTTCTGGCTACGATCTCAATCCTCCTTTATTCATTTTTATTTCTTTTATTCATTCACGGGATAAGGGTGTCACTGGCTAGACAGCATTTATTGCCCATTCCTAATTGCCCAGAGGGCAGTTTAGAGGTAACCACATTGCTGTGGGTCTGGAGTCACATGTAGACCAGACCAGGTAAGGATGGCAGTTTCCTTCCCTAAAGGATATTAGTGAACCAGATGGGTTTTTCCTGATAAACGATTCATGATCATTGTTACACTCTTAATTTCAGCTTTTTAAAAAAAAACAAATTCAAATTCCACCATGGTGGGTTTCAAAACTGGGTCTCTGGATTGATAGCCCAGTGATAATACCACCACAATTGACAATGGATTCATGGCTATCTTTAGATTCTTAATTCCAGATATTTTATTGAATTCAAATTCTACCATCTGCCACGGCAGGATTCAAACCCCGGTCCCCAGATATTATCTGGGATTCAGGATGAATAGTCCCGTGATAATACCACTAGGCTATCGCCTCCTGCTCGGTGAGAGGTAGCAAGCTAGGACTCTCTGCTTTTCAAATTCCAGACTCGGGATCTGAGCACACAATACAGACTGATACTCCAGTGCAGTACCGAGGGGATGCGGCACCATCTGAGACACCATCTTTCTGAGACACATCACATGTGATGTGAAACTGAGATGCCCTGCCGGCTCTCTCGAAAAAAAAGTCCGCTGGCTCTCTGTATAGAACACTTGCGTTCTTCCCAGTGCAGGGTCCAATAACCCAACATCATAAAATTATCATTAGCTTGTTGCTGCCCACAAACTGTTTTCAATGTGCATTCCTAAGTAATAGCTCATTCATTCTAAAGTGCTTTGAGACATTTTGAAATCCTGAAAAGCATGGACGCAATCTCTGTCTTCTTTCTTCCTGTTTTCCTCTTTAAAAATCGAACTTTTACCACTCAGTCCCTAACCTACATCAGCAGTGGAGACATTCAAATTGAAGATTGTACCATCATATGGGCACTGTGATCAAAATGTATTTAATTACTGGTGAACTTCCAGTGTATTTTTCTCCACAAATATCCACGATCTCAGTTACCATTGGTGCCTTTTGAAATGTAGTTTACTCGGAAGGACAATGACAAATGCAGTTGATTTTCTGAGACTGAGCTGGACAGCTCGCCGAGTTGGAGCGATGTCCGAAAGGGCGATGTGTGCAGGTTCTCACAAAGGGGACTGAGGAAGTCTCAGGATATATTTTACTTGCAGAAGTGGGATTGAGGAAAGAACATAAATTGAAAGTAAACGATTCCCCATGGTGCAGGAATGGCCAGCACTTTTTTTTTCTTATGAATCAAAGCTGTAGACAACTTTGCCCGCACTCGAATCTAACCTAAACCCCCAGAGGATCTTGTGATGGACCCGAAGGGGCGATTTAATCAAGAGGCAGGCCGTCTCACCCCACATTTCAGTTAGTGCTGTTTCACAGTCCGGATTAGCATGCTGACCGAATATCGGAAGTCAAGAACAGAGTTCAGTGTTCAAAAGGCCGCTATCAGTCTACATGTTTCCACAAGAAGTCTTTGATTCAACATACAGTATATGGAGAGAGGGAGAGACAACAGTTAGTTTGCCGACACAGAGCAGTACCTCGGTGCCATCTACAGGTCGGCTGTGGGATTGAATGATGGACGACAGCCCTCAATACAGAGCACTCTACCAACTGCACTGGACAAAGTAGTTGATCTTAAAAGTAACTATGACTTAACTTGACGAATTTGTTGCTTGTGTGATACTGCTGCTCATGAGTTGTTTTCCTCTGAAAGTGGGCCTTTTTAGTTAGATTTTTTGAGTTGATGACGCTGGAACAATTTAGTGTGTCCTTACAGTAAATCAAGAGACAGACAGGTAGAGGACACAAGAGGATAGTAAAAGTAAGATTATGATAACTTTACACTATTTTGTTCATGATTTCTATTAATTGTAATCCTCTAAAAGGAAGCACTTAAGTTCAAAACTTCTGTATTTAATTAAACATTTGACTTGTAAACTGTTTGACAATCCAGTTTCAGATGGTAGCAGTCTCACTTCAGAGCCAGATGATTGTGGGGTTGTGATGATACTTTGGCTTTAAGAGATGTATTTTGTCCTGGCACTTTCTTGTTTATGAACAAAGGTTGAGACGGGGGTATGGAGAGATCTGCTCAAAGCCAATAAAGTAAACAGCTTGTGAGGACTTGGGTTTTTGTTAACATTGGAACAATAGAAGCAGCTTGAATGGGTGGTGTCAAGCTCCCACAGAACCAGGATTTTTAGTTTTAGCTTTCTGCAGTTGCTGAGGTCTTGAAGCTGGATGTGGAAGCTGTTATTCCTCTCCCTGTCACAGCTAAAAGCTGGGGTTCGCTTCCTGCTGCTAGAATTGCACGTGAGACAATCTATTTTGCTGAATTTGCCTTTGCCAAGGGTGTGTTTTTGGGATGTTACTATTTTGAAACAGTTAATTATATATTATTTTGTTAAGCATTTCAATAGAGTTAGAGTTAAGCTAATTTTTTACTTTATTTTTATTTTGTCTATATTTTAGCTGTAGGATGAAATAAAGTAGTTTGATCAATCAAATTGCATCTGGAACACAACACTTTACACTTACCTTTAAAATAAGAAAAAGTTAGGGGTTAGGCTATCAGCTTAATATATTTTGAGGGTTTGGTCTGGTCCATAACAGAGACAGATTCCCACTCCAGGGATTTGAGTGCAAAATCTAGGCTGACATTTCAGTGAAGTACTAAAGGATTGTTAATTGTTGCAAGGGATGTCTTTCAGACGAAATGTCTGTATATCCAAAATTGAGTAGCAGGTTTTCCCTGTTGGCCTATTTGTTCATTTATCCCTCAATCAAAATCTAAAGCACACTGGCTGAGGTCTTCTGGTCTCCAGATCCGCAAAGACCTGATGTACCATGCAAGCTGCATGTTGGTAATCCAGAGAGGTCCCAATGAAATGACC